AGGCATTATTTTTTTAAAGCTGGAAGGACCTTTAGTCCCGGTTAGTGTTACCCACCGGGACTAAAGGTTCCCCTTTAGTTCCGGATGCTTACTCCCGGGTGGAGAACCAGGACTAGAGAGGGTTCCCCACCAGAAATAAAGCTCAGTTCTCACCAAAATTTTATATTATTTTTTCGAGCATCTTAACGTCCTCGAGTGGAAAAATCGTTCGTAGCTAGCACGCACAGAGCGCAGGCGCATGCATCATGCAGCTCCCCTCTGTTAGCTAATTAAGCTAGGGACGATGGATCGACGTGAAGATCCTGACATATAGATGCATCGTCGTGTGCATGCACGTGTTGCGTTACACATACACCGTGCTTGGCGTGTGCGCCGACCCGGCAGTGCAGTGCACCGGCAACGGCACGTCGACACCTGAGCAGGCACGGCTGCCCCGCGCACGTGTCCTTGCCGAGGCCGAGCCAGCCAGCGCGGCGGTCTAGCTCGATCTAGCTAGCACTAGCAGCAAAGCCATGCATGTTGCTAGGTACCAGCTGCAAGCGCGACTGACCGGCCGGTGGATCGGAGTCGTGCTGAGTCATCACCCTGCGCTCCAGGAACCACGGCGCCGAGCTCGGTGCTAAGATTTATGGCCTCGAGCTGTCTATTAAATCACCGTCATGTCAGCGTCGAGCTAAAGAGCTAAAGGTCCAGATTTTGAAATCTTACCTTTATAGACATATTTATGATTTTTTTTTAAAAAAAGAACTAAAAAATAAAAAATTTGGCAAACTTGTGGCCAGGAGCTGCACACGTGCTCCACTCCTTGCGTCAGCTTACCATTTTTATTCAATGTCGATTTTTTTTATTGCGTTGCTCCCCTGCTGCTGCACAAAGAAGATAGCTTTGCAATGCACATTGGATCTCGTACTCCATGTGGTCGTTTAATTTAGGAAAAAAATTAAACTACAAAAGTGCAGTTATTTCGGCCTTTCGGGACGGGGAGGGTATATCCTTTTATTGATGACAGTATCATGGCGTAGTTGCATATGGACATATCATGGATGACCCCACTGGATATACAAGGCTAAGATTCAACAATCTTTGCCACGTAACTCCTCAGGTTAAACTTAACTTCATCCAGGATATTTTCAACGAAAAGTCAAAAGCATGTTGCACTCAGAAGCTACAATTATTATGAAAGTAAACAAGATTAAGACACATGTGCAGCCCTACCTTAATGTCAACCCTTGCTGGCCAGTAATTTCAAGTTACTTTTACCCTGTTCGCTTGGCTGATAAGTCATGGCTGAAAGTACCGTTGGCTGATTTGTTGTGAGAGAAAAATACTATTCGTTGGTTGAAAAAGTACGGCTTATAAGCGAAGCGAATAGGACGTTGTCTTTACATGGCTAAGGTTATTTAATTAAGTGGCGGCTAACTTACCATTGGGCATACTAAATTACTAATCAGTAGGTAACACAAAAAGTCAAGGTTTATGGACCACAAGTTAAGATGGTATAGTAATTTACAGTCACTACTACTAGCGGATATGGATGCTTTGCTTCCTTCGCATGCGTGCACCTTCATGTACAACTTACAAGTTAGCACCAAGTGAAGTTAACATCAATATATATACTGAATCATAGGTCCAGATTGAGAAGCGGAATATACTACCTAAGTCCAGAAAAACTTGATGTTTTAGTTTTATCTGAAGTCAAACTGTTTTAAGTTTGATTCTTCTTCATTTACAGAGCAGGCCCATATGTATTCACTGTTTCTAAAAATACAACCCAGTCCTCGGAGGCATGGCCGGAGATGATCGATCTGCAAGCGATGGCGGAGCACAGAGCAGGCTGGGCGGCGTCCGGAACCGGACTTGCAAATGGAGAAAAACGCCGTCCAGTGCTTCATGCAGCACAGGTGATCGATCAGGCCACGCGAGACGCGACGATGCTAGCAGTGAGGTCCAAACAGCTTCCGGCCAGCCTGCTTTGCGATGCTCCTGCAACCTGGTGGCTATCTTTTTCTGAGGAGCTATTGTACCAAAGTTTTTTTTTTAAAACAGCTTTAGCTTCAATGGTAAAGTTGTCTTATAAAACCAAAGAAAAAAACCGCTTCAATAGAAAAGTTGAGCTGTACCAATTACCAAACAAGCTCTACTTAAGCGGACAGCGGCAGAAAAAAAAAACCCAGCAGTGAGACAGAGACCGTGGACCGTAAAGAGGTTTGCTGAAAAGATTTAAAAATAAATATCTTTGCTTTAGAAAGAAGCTATAACTCTGGATTGTACGTAATTTTTTCCCCTAAGCACAGACCATTCACAAAATTAAACTAAGCACGTAATAAGCATTATGCAATGGCATGGATACATTAAAAAACCTATGGTTAATTCATTTTATTTTAAAAATAATTTTTCCATGAAGAAAATTTTCAAGATACTTGAAAAAATATTTATTTATATTTATTATTCACATCTCCTAATTAAATATTTTAGGGAGAAGGAAAGCAAAAAGAAAGAAAGAAAAGGACAAGAATGTTATATTGGGCCAACGAGGTCTCTTTACCTCAGCCTCACCTCGCTTGAGGCCTGTGACCTCTATTTCGGCCCAAGAAGGCCCAGGCGCCCGCCCACATCCCAGTCCACCATGCGTCCACGCCCTCCCCGATTTGGCCTTTTCCCTTCCGCTTCCGCAAGAACCCACCCACGCGGCCACGCAAGCCAGCAAGCGCGCCGGGGGATTGCGGCGAGCGGCGACTGGATCGGCGAGGCAAGCACGGATTATGGCGAATTCATCCATCCAGTATCCATTCCAGCCAGGGGGTGCCAGCGCTCCGCGGCCGCGCGGCGGCTGGTCGCGTGGACCGCGGATGTGGATGGCACTACAGCAGCTGGACTTGGCGGGCTGTGGTGCGCGCGGTGCGCCTGTGCGGCAAGCGGCAGGCCAGCAACAACAGGCAACACCTAATGCCGTCATGCCGAGGTGCCCAACAGTCTCGATTCGTGAACTCTGTAAGTCTGTATGCCTGCCCTGTAATTTTCCTGTTCTTACTCACTAGAGTCTGACTTATATTTCAACTAATTCGCACATTGCAGGCGCTACATGTTGCTTCACAATGCGCCATATATTCTGCAAAGTGGGAATGCTCATTTGATAGTTAAACAAATTAAACACTACTGCACTATATACATATTATTTATAGTTTATCCACTCTCAAGTGATACTTTACAGAATTCTGTTTCTAACAATACTGCACGATCCTCTGTCTTGCAGATTAAGGTTGTTAATATGTAATTCCCAGTTTCCCACACAAGGAGGCGTAGGCTGTAGCAATTGCATTGTCATCTCTTGACTTCTGTCTTGTAAGTATCTTACATTAATATGTATATAAGCTCGTGTCGAATAGTTCTCGAAAATGGAAGAATTTGACAGTGCTCTGCAAATGTTGAAGTTTTGTTATTTTATTATTTCTTAGATACATGATGAAATGGACCCTTTAGTACAAGAAGTTTCAAAACTTAAGATGATTATACAACACAAAACTATCGGCAAGAATCAAGAACAACTTATATCACATTAAAATTTATTTTCAGAAGAGAGATTAACTGTTTTGCAGAACACTTCATCCTAAGTATTGTAGAACTGATGTTAGGTTTGATTCATCAAAAAAGGGAATAAAAAGAAGTAACGTTAGTGACACTAAAACCAAACTATTGTGTTGGTCTAGTACTAGTACGAGGCATAATGAACTTATATTGGTCTAGTACTGTAGTATGTTGCCCCCCCCTCCCATAAGTATTTTTCCTTGATCTGCCATTGGTCAAAGATAGATCCTCACAGTTGCTTCACTTGAAATAACCGCCCCAGATTTTTTTGGAAGTTGTATAAACGATCGAGAAGTCATTAACCTCAGTCCACTTCCACTCATTCATCTCCAGTATAAAACTGCATGTCACTGCATCAGAGAAGCATTGAACAAGCAGAAGAAACAAACCGAACAATCACACTCACAGGAGCCCAATAAAAACCACGACTGCAGGCCTTTGCTAACTGCTTGATGTGTCCACTCATTTTCCCATCCGTCTAATGGTGCTACAACAGTACAACTTCTTAGAAACTTTTGATGGTCGGAGTAATCAATGACAAAGATTTCTTCGCCTCCCTTCACATCTGCAACACATCCTCTCTATGTATATGTATACTCAACTATAGTGCAACATTGGCTGCAGCTGGGCGTGATTTATAGTTGTTCTCTATCCAAGGAGGTAGGAGCGGATCCCCTCCATGCCCAGGTGCCATGGCTGCAGATTCATCACCCCTCCTCAGTTGATCTATTGTTTTCCTGAGCACGCTTTTCTTCTAATCGATGGCAAATAAATAATTTGGCACCGCAAGTCAGATGTTTTTCCATAAAGAAGGATTTTATTAACTCAAGATGATCACATCGAGTTGATACAATAATCTAGCACCCATTCTGGCCTCTACAAAAAGCACACAGCCTAAACCAAAAAGAGAGAGAGAGAGAGAAAAGCCTGACAGCTTAATGACAATCAATCTTGAGCCCAGATTCTGACTAATATGTATATTTTTATGCTCAATAGGGTGTCAAAGTATGCAGTACACTACCGACATGGAACTTGCATCAATTAGACAAGGTAACGAAGCTAATCCTAGTTCATTGTAAGGCGAACTTTGTTTCATGACAAGTTTACTAGTTCTGATACATAACAAACACAAAACACTAGCGAAAATGGGAGATGACCCACGGGCAAATTATTCTTAAAGTAAAAGGCCATTCAAAAGAAATTAGGCAAAGGCCATCATGCTCTACTAGTATGTGAACAACAAAAACAACAGCCCTTTTACTCAGCCATGTAGCACTGCAAATGCTTCTTTGATTGTGATGACTTCAGCGTAGACATCCTGCATTGTTGGTCGATCTTTCGGGGTCTCCATAGAGCATGAGAGACCGAGTTTAACAAGAGGCATGATGCAGTGGCTTTCCATGGCAGCTGTTGCATTATTTCGGATAGATCTCACCTTGGAGAGAATTTCCCCCAAGATCGACAATCCGAAGACGAGAACAGGAAGACAGTGTTTCTGGGATCACACCCCTGAGATTGTTTGAACTGAGGTTAAGGTACTGCAACCATTTCAGTTGGCCAAGCTCATAAGGAATTGGGCCAGTAAGGTGGTTATTTGGGAAGTGGATTCTTTCGAGGAAAGTGAGATTGGCAATACAGGCAGGTATTTGGCCACTGAGCTCGAGCGAGTCGAGGTTCAGCGCGACAACATGAGATTTGTGCCTCTTCCCGCAGTTAACACCAGCCCAAGTGCAAAATTCGAGGGAATCGTTCTTCCATGAGGCAAGAAGCCCGGCAGGATCAGAAAGATTGGACCTGAGACAAAGGAGGGTTTGGAGATCATTATTGGGGGGTGTTCTATCAAGTGGTAAGGCAGGAACTAGTAGGAAGCTAAAGATGAAGGACAGGACAGTGGCCACGAGCACTGACGAACTCAGAGTTTCTGGAGGGGCCATACAGCATAGGCTATGGGAAAATTTGTGGACGAGTCTTGAGTTGTGATTTCTCATGGGTGTGCTTATGTTGCATTTATACTGGAAGGAGTCAGCTAGCAAGCGATAGATAATAGAGTAGTTGAGTGGGCCCGCCACGTCAGGTCTCCTAAAAGGGCATGAAGAAAATGAAGAGTTGGCTGTGTCAGATATGTATTTTATACTTCTGTATCATGCAGGGGTATGGGTACTACCCACCGTAGGGTGGTAGCTATCAACCTTTTGTCATTATTACGGCTGCTTACTACTGTACATACTTGATTTAAACTTGCATGAATTTTGAACGAGACATGGATGGACAAAAGAATATGAAAAACTGGATCATATATTCTTAACCGTGCCTATTTTTTGATTAATTTACATGGATTATTAAGATGACATATTGCCCACTAGATAAATTTATCTATACCTGTCTCTCCTCCAATTCTTCGTCCAGCACCATCCATTGTCACTTCTTTTATCCTACAAATGCCAGTATTAGAGTCCAACCCAAATTCCGTATGTCCTACGCCTCATGTGTTCAAGATCAATTACCTATTCCACAAAACATGTTGTATTTGACTCTGTCCCTATCTAAAGAAAAAAAGACTACTCAAGAGATCACGTGTCCAACGACGGTACCATGGATATTTGCCTCTATAAAATTGCAAAATACAAGGGAGGAGGTTTTGCTCTTCATTTCTTTGAAGGGGGTCGCTCAAGAAGGTTAGTTAATGCCTCTCATATATCTCTTCATGAGTGCTTCTCAATTTGAGTCAAAACTAGATCTAGAGTTTCATAGTTGTGTTTTGAGAGAGAGAGAGAGAGAGAGAGAGAGAATGGTAGTAGAGTTTTAGTCTAGGGTTTCAATGGTGCCTCAAAAAGTTTGGATTAGTTATGCCTCTCATATAACTTGCATGAATCCTTCTCAGTTTGAGTCAAATTTAGACCTAGGGATATTCGTGGAAGTGACCACAACTAATGCCCTTACACCGGAAGAAGTCAAGTGATAGCAAGTCACTTTTATCATAGTTTATTTCCAACAGAGAAAGCTGCTCAAAGCAGACTAATAATCTCACCCTCCTAAAATACAAGGCATCAAAGTTTAAAATTTCTCTTGGATTATAAGTTATTATTATGGATAGCTTAACCTCATCCATATATATGTTTACCTGCCTTTTAAAACACATCCATGCATGCATCTATGCATGTCTTTTAAACATCTTGCACAAAATGAATCATTATATATATATATATATTATATTATATATTATATATATATATAGGCGTACTGTTCTATAGCTGGCCGCAGAATAAGTTATTCTATGGTCACTTTGAGTTACGATAATTATTCTACTAATTTACGAGATTATGGTAACTCTCTCATAAGTGATTTACTATAGCATTATGGTAAGTATCATCTTGAATTATAGTAACCCATGTATCGTAAATGTGTATTGTCATTATCGTAAATTGGTACAAACATTATTGTAAATCAAGGTGGCTATAGAATAAGTTATTCTGTGGCCAGCTGCAGAATAACCTTACCGTGTGTGTGTGTATATATATATATATATATAAATATAATTGGTAGCACAATCAAGACATGTATGCTTACCTTTTTAAACTATGCCCTACTAGAAAATTAAGCAACTTAACAACTTAACTAACTAATTAGTGAGGGGCAAATTAGTATTTTGCCAAACTCCTTGTTTGGTCATAAAATTACTTGGATATATTGTATTTCAGAATGAAGTGAGTAACCATTTAAGATTCTTGGATTTTTTATATCATCATCTAGAAACAAAAGGGTGTCACCAGCATACTAAATTATTCCTAGCTGCTTTCATAAGTATTCTAGTGTATAGATCAACATATCTATTACCAGATTATTCTAGCTGCTTTCATAAGTATTCTAGTGAAAATATCTTCTACTAAATTAAAAAGGAGTAGATAAAGGGGATTAGGTATTCATGACGGATATTTTCTGCTATCCTTTTGTCGGAAAGAGAGGTTCATGTACTAAATGGATAATTCATATTTAAATCCGGACATCTCTTCAAGGAACTCTCAGTTGACCCTATCATATATATTTTTTTTTCTCAAATTTCAATATAATACCACTTTCTTTAGTTTTATGTACCTCATGAATAATTTTGGGTGCACACTAATAGGCGTAATAAACTTCTTAAATCATGTATACCCAGGCTAGCTAAATCTTTCTTATGGGCAATCGGTTGCCAATTGGCCATGTGTACCTATCCTGGTCCTCATTATTGTTTCACAGGAAATGAGCCATTTAAAAGTTGATAATGTCAGTCACGCACTCAGGAAATTTAATAGTGGAAAGGAGGTAAATTGGGATACTAACTAAACATGATTTATGAAATGAGCAATTTAAAAGTTGATAATGTCAGTCGTGCACTTAGGAAATTTAATAATGGAAATGAGGTAAATTGGGATACTAACTAAACATGATTTAAGAAAAGTAAGTCTCCCACAATAGGAAAGAAGTCAATCCATCGTGCCACCCTTTTATTAATATTGTCCACTAGTGGTTGTAAGTCCCTTATCGTGCTTGGCGTATACTACTACACAAAGGGTTCTGGCTAATAACGTCATTATCACCACCGGTTTCTTTAAACCATTAGGGGTGATTTTCACCGATGTTTCGTTATATGAACCGTCGATGAAAATGTGTGCCTCCCTCTCCTCGTGTGTGCTTCCTGAGGGTGTCCGAGAGGCGGGGCTCATGTGTCTATGTGCCACCCCGCGAATGGTGTCCGTGATGGGTGGCAGATCCATGTACTTACCAGTTACCAGCCGCACTCTCTCGTTGGTTTCAGCCTGCCGACTGTGTAAGTCGGTTTACATTGATAACAGTGTTAAGCCATCGCCTATTCTCAAGTTGGCATCGGTGGAAAGTTACTATTTCCACTAGGCTTTTATACTAACAGTCTACAAAACCGCCAGCAAAGATCCAAAACGTGCGCCAGTACAACTATTTTTGTACTAGTGTATAGGGCGTAATTTAGATATAAGTTTTTGGGATAGCAGGACGTTTCGCTGTTTTGAGAAGTTCTAAGATCCTTTATCAGATTTCACCCAGTCTGAGGGCATTAGTTTGCTCCACGACATCTACGGAGGAATATGTGGGTCCTATGCCTCTCACAGAACGCTGATCGGAAAAACCTTTCGACAAGGTTTTTACTGGCCAACAGCGCTCGAAGACGCCACTGAGTTGCTCCGAACGTGTGAGTCTTGTCAGTTTTTCAAACGGCAAATTCACCAGCTGACTCAAGCGTTAAACACGATCCTTTTGTCCTGGCCATTCGCCACATGGGGCATCGACATCTTGGGCCCTTTTCCAAGAGCCCGGGATGGTTATAGATTTTTTATTATTGCGGTCGATACTTACACAAAGTGGGTTGAAGCCGAGCCGGTAGGCCGGATAACCAAAGAAAATACAGTCAAATTTTTACGGAGTATTGTAATGCGTTTTGGCGTACCGCACCGAATACTCTCGGATAATGTTACACAATTTTCCAACAAAAAGTTTGAATTTTTTTGTGAAAGACATGCCATTAAGCATTATCGGTCCTCGGTCTATCACCCGATGACCAATGGTCAAGTAGAGCGTGCTAACGGCATAATTCACTATAAAAAATCCTCTTATACATGACGGTTTACTTTGGTCATAGACATACGAAAATGCGTCACAGTTAACTCATGATGACTATCGCGAAAAACGTCATGTACCCTGTGTCATACATTTGTTGAACCGAATGGACTGTCACAGGTTGACTTTTTTATTCGTCATGGATGAACTGGTCGGCAAAAATAGCAAAAGGCAATAGTGATGAAATGAACCGTCACGATTATGTTACACGTGGCTGCTATGTTGCCACGTCATCAGTAGGCTGTTTGTGGCCCATTGTTCATGAGGCCCATGTGTTGTGTAGTTTTTTAGTTTTAGTTAGGCCCATGTGGTAGCGGGAACTATTGGGCTAGCCCAATTGCACAATAGAATTGGCCCACTGTGGGCCATCAAAAATTAGATTTAAATTGCACCAACTTCAAATTTAAATTACACTAAATTCAAATTTAAATTGACAGTAAATTCAAACTTAAATTCACACCATTTAGGTAGTCACAGATCACCATAGATCATCACAGATTCATATAAATATGCCATATAAATAGATATAGAGGTCACATCATCACAGATTTGCAGATACATCTAAATATATGCCAACATAGTAACTATTAGTTACATAAGAAGTTTGGCACACCATAGGCTAGGACATGCATCAGACCTTACATCAGTTCATCAGTAATGTTTCTTGTACTCCTTCCAATGTGGAAATATCGGAACATGGTTCCTTACTGCAATGTTGCACTCAGTTGCAAATTTTGCAGCAATCATCACTGAGTTCGGTCTTTTCTTCCCCGGTTCAATAACCAAAGAAAGTTTGCCTTTCCTCGAGCGAGTCATTGAATCAAGTTCTCTCCCAATATTAGGTCCCCTCATCCAGTCCTCCTCATCAAATGGGTCATCTACAAAGGATAAGCATAAACTTCTAAACTCTGATTCAAGAAATTCACCACTCGGTAATGCAGAAACAAAAGTAGTAACATATACTAGTTAAATATTATCCTATCAACTTATGAAAATTAAAGTTGTTGATTTAACAATAATATCAAAACTGGTGTTCAAGACTGAGCCAGTTTTCATTTTATTATGAACAATGTATGAAGTACAAAATTTTAGTCTTGCACTGGTGACTAAATTATCTATCCATGAGTTATCTTAAGCATTGGAGTATCAACCAACCATAATAAATATCCTAATATAATTGATTAATTGAGCCTAGCAGTACCAGGTTGACTTGAGCAGAAAATAACTGTAACTTGAACTGATGCTCATGTAGAGAAGCAAAGCATGCACAATTTGACTGCAAAGACAAGCTCGACTTGTGGTTCTTCTATGGTACTATGCACTTGCTGAACCATCAGGACAAGCTAAAACATGCGAAGAACAAATACCAAGAGCATGACACATCATGACACACCTTCAGAAACGTTGGCACCCTCTATTTCTCTATTTTCATTGACATCATTCATTGTGGCAGCTTCAGAGCTCAGTTTGTATATGCTCATCTCCAGTCAGGCAGCCATTTTGCTCGCCTGCATCAGCTACAATGCAATATAGAATTAGTAATAGTACTTTGGAATGCTGGTTCTACAATTTGAGTTCAATTTGTTACAGGAATGTAGTCATTTAACCTTCCTCTGTAGGCTGATTGCAGATTTTAGCTTGATTAGTCACTGCAGTAACATCAGCTGGACGATTCTTATGTGACCTTGTGAGAACACCAGGTTGCATCTCAGTTTGCGCCTTGTGAACACCTCTCTTGGTAACCTTTGTTGTTATCTTCTTCTTCTACATAGAACCAATCAAATGTACAGATTGGGAGATAAACATTAAATGCAATGAGCAAGCAATCCACATATTAAGATTTGACACTATGGAATAACTAGCACCTTATATGATAAACTAGCAAGTGTACACCCCAACTCTGTCTCCGGTTCTAGGCCATCATCACTTAGATGGCCATCATTGTTAGGCTCATCCTCACCATTGTACTCCAAACCAGAGTTTTTTGTTTCCTTCTGCTGCTTGATTACTGGGGAAATCCTAGTGTTCGCAAAAAGTCTAGCTAGTACAAGAAGTCCTAGTTTCCGCATCTTTGCGTTGTTGCGAAAACACTTTCTCATCCGCTGAAGTTCATAGTCAGTAAGTGGAGGATCTGCATTAAGAAGGAATAAAGAGAAAATTAGGGACATATTTAAGCATCCAGTTCACATCAGCAACCAGTTCACAACCAGACAGAAAACATTTTTAACATCCAGTTCACATCAGCAAGGCCACAAGCAGCAGTCCTTATATACCAATCAGACAGAGCATATCTTTGGAAGAAAAAGAAATCAAAGCAACCTTCCTCGGCACTTTGCTTCTTTCGCATTTCACTACACCACCGAGTACAGCCTGAACTAAGAGGCAACAAAGAAAACTAATAGCACTAAAAGATGGCGGCAGGAACAAGGATGTTAAGAAACACAACACCACCCCACCAACCCTGAACCCACCATGGCAATCAGACTTTTTGAACCAAGAAACACAGGCATCTTAAACTCAGATAGGGTTCTAATCGCTTGCAGCCATTATCACTCAGATAGGAGCATATCTAGGCGACCCGATACTGTGTAAGCAAGATCACCGAAAATAAGGATGCAGGAGAGACACTTTGCCTGCAAACTGGTTTCCCGTCCGTGGCCTGTTCGCTGGTTTTCTACCCCTCTTCTTCGGCGACATCGGTGTTTCTGTAGGTACTCCGGGAAGAGAATAAGCGGTGGCTGCGGGATGGCAGAGCGACGGTGGCTGCGGGACCGCGAACGATGGGGCCGCTGGCTGTGGGGCGACGGATGGCGGGGCGTAGGGTTCTGGGGGTGAGATTTGAAGGATTGGGGGATGTGGGGGCGGCGTTGCCTGCAAGACGGCGGAGCCCGATTATATAGGGCGCTGCAATATTACCAAAATAGCCTCATCGTTTCCTTTGTGTGATGGAGTACTGTCTAGGCGGGCAGGCCAGATTGGTAAATTCGCATGCCAAATTGTGGAGTGGGGAAGGCCGCTGCCAGCAAAAATTTTAGGGTGCGCGCCTACACTGTTTAGAATGCCCGCCGAAACATTCAGGGTTCTTCTTTTTTTCTTGAAATGGTCCCTATATATTTTTTGTAGCTATCAAGATATTAAAATAGTGCACGGTAATAACCAAATTTGGATTACTATATATACTTGCTTGGTATTAATTGTATAAATTTGGTCAATTAAATTGTTTAGGCCCGGTAATGTAAATAAATCACTACTGCACCCTCTTATGACAAGTAATAGTACTTAATAGCACATATTAAACCCAATAATCTATATAACTTCGAAGCTTTCACATGTATTTCTACAAAGGCTACATTTTACTTTGTGGTAGGTGTCACATAACCTACTCATTGATGTCTGTATATATAGTACTCCTTGAACATATCATACTCTACACATCGATCAGCTATTGCTTGTATTTCTCCACCGGCCACATTTGACTTTGTGGTAAGTGTCACATAACCTATAGTAATCGTCGATGCGTAGGCCGTTGATTGGTGCCTCATATTCTGCCACATTGTTGGAGGCAGGGAAGTGGCGACCCGTCAAAGTACATCGTCTAGTATTCTTGGTCGACGGCTGCTGGCGGCATTTGGATCTCGATCCATTCTACCACAAAATCGGCTAGCACTTGGGACTTGATGGCCGTCCGAGGGGCATACGAGATCCCCTGGTCCATCAGCTCGAGCGCCCACTTCGCGATCCTTCCCATGGCGTCCCAGTTTTGGACGACCTCGCCGAGAGGAAAGGACGTCACGACCGTCATCGGGTGTGACTTGAAGTAGTGACACAGCTTTCTCTTGGCGATCAAGACGGCGTATAAGAGCTTCTGAATTTGTGGGTAGTGAGTCATGGAATCGGACAAGACCTCGCTAATGAAATATATGGGGCATTGCACCCTGAGGGCGTGTCCCTCTTCTTCCTGCTCTACCATCAGGGCGGCGCTGACCACCTGAGTGGTGGCCACGATGTAGAGTAGGAGTGGTTCCCCATCGGTCGGTACGACCAAGATCGGGGCCTTCATTAGGAGCTCCTTGACCTTGTCGAGCACCTCCTAGGCCTTGGTCGTCCACTCAAATCGGTCGGTTTTCTTTAGAAGCCAGTAAAGGGGGAGGCCTCATTCGCCGAGGCACGAGATAAAACGGCTGAGCATGGCGAGGAACCCCGTAACTCGTTGTACTCCCTTCAGGTTCTGAATCGGGCCCATCCTCGTGATGGCCAAGATTTTCTCTGGGTTGGCTTCGATGCCACGCTCGGAGATGATGAACCCGAGCAGCATACCCCTTGGGACCCCAAAAACGCATTTGTCGGGGTTGAGTTTGATGCCATTTGCTAGGAGTTTTGCGAAGGTGTGCTCTAGGTTGGCTATGAGCTAGTCAACCCGCTTGGACTTGACCACGATGTCATTTACGTAGGCCTCAATGGTTCGCCCGATGTGGTCCCTAAAACACTTGAGCATACAATGCTGATACGTAGCTCTCACGTTTTTCAGACCGAACGACATCGTGATGTAGCAGAACGATCCGAACGGGGTGGTGAAAGACGTCGCGAGCTGGTCACACTCTTTCATCGTGATTTGATGGTACCCAGAGTACGTGTCCAGAAAGCAAAGGGTTTCGCACCCTAAGGTCGAGTCGACTACTTGATCTATACGTGGCAAAGGAAATGGATTCTTCGAACATGCTTTGTTGAGACCCATGTAATCAACACACATTCTCCATTTCCCACTCTTTTTTCGTACAAGAACGGATTGGCTAACCACTCAGGGTGATACACCTCCTTGATGAATCTGGCCACCAAAAGTTTCATGATCTCCTCGCCGATGGCCATGCGCTTCTCCTCGTCGAAGCGACGCAGGCGCTGCTTGACTGGCTTGGAGCCTGGCCTGATCTTCAAGGTGTACTCAGCGACTTCTCTCGGAATGCCTGTCATGTCTGAGGGTTTCCACGCAAAGATGCCTCTATTGGCGCGGAGGAAGTTGATGAGCGTGCTTTCCTATTTGGAGGAAAGCGTGGTGCCGATGCGCACCACTTTGCCCTCGGAGCTGCTGGGGTCTATGAGGACCTCCTTGGCGCCCTCTATAGTCTTAAAAGACCCGGCCAACCGCTTGGGGTTGGGTGGCTCTTCGGTAGTCTCCTCACTGATGATCACGAGCTCTTCGGAGGCGATAATCACTGTGGCGTGCTCGCAACACTCAACTTCGCACTCATAAGCACGCTGGAAGGAGGTGTCGACAGTGATGACCCCTCATGGGCCTGACATCTTTAGCTTCAGGTTGGTGTAGTTGGGGACAGTCATGAACTTCACGTAGCATGGTTGTCCCAGGATGCCGTGGTAGGTCCCATGGAACCCGACCACCTCGAAGGTGTGGGTCTCGATCCTGTAGTTGGTTGGATCCCAAAGGTGATGGATAGATCGATCTGCCTGAGCAGCATGACCTGCTTCCCTGGTATGATGCTGTGGAAAGGTGCCCGGTCGGTCGGATGCACGACCGGTCGATGCCCAAGGCGTCGAGCGTCTCGGTGTACATGATGTTGAGGCCGCTGCCTCCATCCATCAGTACCTTGGTGAGCCACTTCGTGTCAACGATCGGGTCGACCATGAGCGGGTACCTTCCTAGCTGCGGGATGCTCTCTAGGTGGTCGGTCCGATCAAAGGTGATGGCGGATTCCGACCATTGGAGGAAGGAGGGCGTGGCCGGCTCGGCCGCGTAGACCTCACGGCGTGCAAGCTTCTAGCGGAGCTTGGAGTCAAAGGCCGCCGACCCCCCAAAGATCATGAGGCAACCATCCAGCGTTGGAAAGCCACCATCCTACCCCTCGGCGTCGTCTGCCACCGGCTTGGGCTCCTTCCTATGCTCCCCCTTATTGGAGCCACCGGACAAGAACCACTTCATGAGGGCACAGTCCTTGTATAGGTGCTTGATGGGGAAGGCATGGTTCGAGCATGGCCCTTCGAGTAGCTTCTCGAAGTGGTCAGGGGTACCCTCGGTGGGCTTCTAAGCCCCCGGTCGACAGCGGCCATGAGCGAGCCCTCGCGTCGCTGCTTGTTCTTCTTCTTGTTGGGATGGTTGGAGGTGCCTTCGTCGGCGACCTCATCCTGCTTCACCTTGCCCTTGGGGCGGTCGAAGATCACTCTGACCGCGTCCTCGCCCGAGGTGTGGCTGGTGGCAATGTCAAGGAGCTCCTTGGTGGTCCACGGGCCCTTGTGTCCTAGCTTGTGATCCCAGATAGGAACGCCCCGATGATGTCGGCATCGGCGACATCGGGCAGCTCATTGCACTGCCTAGAGAAGCGTCAGATGTACTCGCGAAGAGTTTCTCCTAGCTTCTACAGATAATTCTTGAGATATCAGGGGTTTCTAGGGCGTGTGTAGGTGCCCTGGAAGTTCCCCACAAAGATGACCTTCAAGTTCGCCCAACTTTGAATCCAGTTAGACGAAAGGTGCTCCAGCCATGTTCGCACCGAATCGGCCAGGAACAAGGGGAGGTTGCGGATAATGAAATAATCACTATCCGCACCGCCGGCTTGACAAGCGAGCCGGTAATCCTCGAGCCAGAAACTGGGGCTTGTCTCCTTGGAGTACTTCAGGATGTTGGTTGGTGGTCGGTACCGTGGTGGGAAGGCAGTGTTGACGATGTGCCGACCAAAAGCTTGAGATCCTAGCAGGTCGGGGCTTAGGCTCTAGTCCTTGGCACTGTCACAGTGTCCGCTGCGATGAGTATGGCAGCCACGACTGGCTTCCTCTCTCTCATCGCCCCGTCCATGCCTTCGGGCCTCTAGGGTGTTACATGCGTCTCGGTGGGGACCGAGACGCTCGTGCACTAGGACCATGGCGAGTCTTCCGCCGTCCCGCGGTGCCTGGTGGATAGACCCGTCCTTGCCGCATCATCCCGAGGATTACCGGGACAACGAGCTCTCCGCCTGCTGCACTATTGCACGCTCGAGCAATGTGCGGATCTCTCAGTGGGCCCACCAGTGTTCGGGTGTCTCGAGTTCTAGGAGCCCTCGAAGCAATGCTGCTGCGGCAGCTATGTTCTGGCTTGCCTGGGCAAAGTGTGGGTGGCCTCCATCGTCCTCGATGATCTTCTGGTTCATGTCACGGGCCATGGCGCGCGCACGCCCACCGTCTACGCGGCACTCGATTTCGCGCTCGAGCTCTATGTGCTCTTGCTCGAGCTGGAGTCAGCATCCTCGAGCTCCTGGTGCCGTGCCCTCAGCTATTCCTGCCGCATGCAAGGAAGGGCCCCTACATCCTCCTCGACCTCATCATCGATGTTGTCTGTCGGGGTAGCTCTGTCCTTGTGGACGCTTTCGACATGTCCCTTGGGGGTACCTGCCATAAAACATTCTTGTGAGGGGTGGTGGCTTCCCCTGCTAGAGTCAGAGTCAAAGATCGACTCTAAATCTCCCACAAGAAGGTCGTGGAAAGATTCTGCAACATGATTGGTCATCCCCACGAATTTGTCATCCGTAGGGGACAAGTGCATGTGCTGTGCCGCAAGGTGACCAACGGTCCCCGCAACATTACGCAGACCGAACAGGAACGCTATTGGGGCGTCTCGGACTCTCAGGTGAGGTAATATGGGGAGAGCAGTTCCCTCCGGCAAGCTGCATGACGTTGGCGAAGGAGAAAATGAGGCAGCGTAGCTCCTCCCGGGA